AAAGGTAGTATTGACCGCGCGTTGCTCCTACAAGTAATGGCCGGCCAGCAATCCTTCAAGCACGAGCTGAAGAAACATACACCGTATAGGGCGGGCAGGTCGTCTCAGGACGGCCCTGCCTCCCGAGCTAGCGGGGAAACCCGCGGGCAGGTGCGCTTTAATAGCGAGGAAACTCGCCGGTAGCGAGGCTACTCGCGCGCCCTTTCCTTGTAGGCAGCCGCTGCTGCTTAGCACTGTTTTTCCGCATAATGTAGAAGTGCGGTGCCTGCTCGTCTCCTCCCCCTCCGACTTTAAACGGAGAAGGTTAAAGGCGAGGTATAAATCGAGCATGTACCGCTGCCGTGCCTGGCTCAAGCCGGGCCCGGCCAAATATGTGATTGTGCCTCACCGAGGCGCACGACTTGCATCAGAGATCGGAAAATACCTTTTCCATTGACGATGCCCATCCTATCCTTTACTCCAGATCCCATGCTTCGTCTTGCTCTCTTGCTCATGCGATATGAGCCAAAGCCTGGGATATGGCAACGCTTAAAGCGTAACACATACCTAAGCTTACCAGCTTGTTTTCGACTGAGTCCCCCTGGCACGTCGCGCGGCGCGTCTCCTGGCACGTCCATTGGCACGTCCAGTGGCGCTTTCCGTAGCGCGTCCCCTCGGCACGTCCCGCGGTGCGTCTTCGTGGCACGTCCCTTGGCACGTCGCCTGGCGCGTCCCTTGGGACGTTCCGCGGCGCGTCCTCCTGGCATGTTCCCGTGTCAAATAGCTCCAGGGCAGCTACAATGTGCCGTGGCAGCTCGAGCTTAAGATCCAGATCAGTTTGGTCAGAACTCGGGTGCAAAGGAGGACTCGATCCACAACGCTATAAAGCACATTCGCGGCATGGCACATCGCAGTTCAGCATCAGCACGGCGCAGCACAGCGCCGCCTTCGGCACGGTACATCAAAATCGATGCATTCAGCATTGCATTTGCCCATCGCCCAATCAGGTGTCTTTGAACCGTTGCCATGCTTTACATTTCTATATTCCTTTCCGGGTTCGTGGGTCGATCATGTCAGACCCACTGCGGGTTCCAAGGTCGATTGCGTGCCCGTCCAGTGCGGGCTGGCATGGCATGTTAAAACATGCCTCCTCCTCCTCCTCCTCCTCCTCCTCCTCCTCCTCCTCCTCCACCTCCTCTTCATCCCGAGCGGCATCCAGAGTTGCGAGGATGTCTCCAGCGTAACGGGTTGGACCACCTCGCGCGCGGCATCTCGGACCCCAGAGTTGCGACGATGTCTCGGGCGAAACGTGCTGCGAGGAAGTCTCAGGCGAAACGGCGGGACCACCTCGAGCGCGGCGTCTCAGAGCTCCGAGTTGCGGGGGCCTCCTGGGGCCTCTTGGGACCTGGTGACCTCCTGGGGCTTCCTCCTGGGCCTCCTGTGGCCTCCTGGACCCCACCTGGGGCTTCCTGAAGCTTCTTGGGGCTCCCAGGAGGGGATATCTAACATGTGGCCGTCGGGGCCCCCCAAAATGGGGGGGGGACCACAAGAGCAGCAGGAATAATCAACGAATCGACACTGGATGTGTATTAACTTGACACGTTCTGATAGGGGGTCTCTTGGGGCCTCCTGGGAGCCTCCTGGGAATCTCCTGCGGACCCCTGGGGCCTGTCCTGGGCGTCCTGCGGCTTTCTGAAGTTCTCTGGGGCCTCCTGGGGTTCCCAGGGTCCCACGGAGGATATGTAACATGTGGTCTTCTGGGCCCCCAGCCTGGACGACCTCTTGCGCGGCATCTGGGAGGTCAGAGTTGCGAGAATGTCTTGTGCGAAACGGGCCGGACAACCTTGCGCGCGGCATCTCAGAGCTCAGAGTTGCGAGGATGTCTCAGGCGAGATGGGCCGGACCACCTCGCGCAGGGCATCTCGGAGCCCAGAGTTGCGAGGATGTGTCCAGCGTAACGGGCTTGACCACCTCGCGCGCGGCATTTCGAACCCCATAGTTGCAACGATGTCTTGGGCGAAACGTGCTGCGAGGAAGTCTCAGGCGAAACGGGCGGGACCACCTCGAGCGCGGCGTCTCAGAGCTCCGAGTTGCGGAGGCCTCTGGGGGCCTCCTGGGACCTCCTGGTGACCTCCTGGGGCTTCCCCCTGGGCCTCCTGAACGGGGGGAGGGAGGAGTACTTGGAGGATGAGAACGAGGTGGAGGACGGGGAGGAGGAGGAGGAGGAGGAAAAGGTTGAGTAGGAGATGGGCGTGAGGACGGCGACGACGACGACGACGACGGTAGAGGGTTAGAGGATGTTGGTCGGGATCTCGTGGTTGGCCTCTCGGGGGCCTCCTACCATTTCAGGAACATCTGCCGACGCGGGGAGGGGGGGGAGGGAACAGTTGGATGAGGATAAGGAGGGGGAAGAGGAGGAGGAGGAGGAGGAGGAGGAAGTGGGCGATGAGTAGGGTGCGGGGATGAAGAAGGCGACGACGGCGACGACGACAATAGAGGGTTCATGGATAGTAGTCGGGAGGACGTGGTCTGGAGGACGGGGAGGGGGAGGAAAAGTGCAGGTTGGAAGCCTCTTGGGCGCCGTTCTGGGGTCTCTTGGGGCCCCTTTTGGGCCTCATGGGTTCGTCTTAGAGGGTTCTAGGGGGACCTCCTGGGAGCTCCTGAGGGCCTTTTGGTTGCCTTTTTGGATCGTGGTCCCCCTCCCGGCCCTCTCGTGGGCTCGTTTTCAGTCGGCCTTGGGCCTTGTCGGGTGCGTCTGGGGCCGTCTGGAGGCCCTCTGGGACAATGTGGGGGCCTTCTTGAAGGCCTTCTGGGCGGTAGAATTCCCAACTCGAGAAATGTCTGCCCAACTCGGGAATTTCGAGCCCGTGCACGGGAAGTCGCAACTCGGGAAACGCTTGACCGTACTCGGGAAACCCGGGTGTTCGTGCACGGGAAACCCGGGCGTCCGTACACGAGAAGCCTTAGCATCGGCATCGGGGAAACTCCGACGTTCGATTTCGAGAAACGCGCCGGCCTTGGACGGAGGAAGGGTAGGCAAGAGGTGGAGGTGGAGGTTAGGCGAGGAGGAGGAGAGGTCGAGGGGAAGCGAGGCGGAGGAGACGGAGGGGTAGGAGACGTAAGAGGAGGAGGAGGAGGAGGAGGAGGAGGAGGAGGAGGAGGAGGAGGAGGAGGAGGAGGAGGCGGAGACTATGATGACAATGATGCGCGTATGCGGAGCTTGGCAAGACCTGCAATTGAGTCTGGACCCACGCCGCCCTAGAAGGGTGATTTTGACCGTTCCGGCAGACACAGAGACCAGCTCCGAAATCACCTCATCGCCACCTCCAGCTACGATGACGACGACAACGACCATCGCCAGCGTACATCTTGCATCACGTACATAGGACCACGTAGAGTGCCCTCACAGGCTGCACCACAGAGATTGCACCATGTACCTTGCATTATATGCGCGCTTCACACTGACTGCTCTATATAGTCTGCATCGCGCGGGTATCACCGTTTAGGGTACCAAAATACCTTGCGTGGGGTTCACGCCGGCTCACATATTGCTTCTGTCGGCTCAAGCTGGTCTTGGGGGGGTGTAGCACAGGTTTACGCGCACATTGCCTGCGCGGGCAGTCCTGCTACTGCGGGCCATCCTGGCATCCGTGGCCAGGCTTTCCTTTGGGCTTTACAGACTGTGCGCATTGCATCACTTGCCATGGCGACCTCGACGAAGGCCTGCAGTGACGAGGTTCCAGATCTTCGCGCACTGGTAGTCCAGCTGAAGTCCATCGTGGGCGCCCTAAGTGCGCACCCTTTGGTGGCGGAGGCGGGCAGTGCTGCTTCCATTCCTGCTGCAGCCCGCGGTCGCAGCCCACGTCTCCGCGCGGACGATTCGGCTCATCCTGGCAAGGGTCCTGAGCCGACTCCGCCTTCCACAACTGCGTGCGACATGGCGCGGCGCTTTGCGGCTGCGGATCAGGCTCCGGTCGACGCCGTCACTGTGAATTTCGTGGCTTCGGTGGCGGGCAGTGGTCAATCCAGGCTTGAAGTATCCTGCGTTCGCGCCCCAGCACTTTCAGTGGATGAACGACCCCACCCAGTGCAGTGTCAGCAGCAGGACCCGTCGGTCACCACCGGCTCAGGAACGACGCGTGGCGCGGCTGCTGCTGATGAACCTCCATGGTCGCCCATCACGAAGGACGATTCCTCCGACGAGGTCTCTGATCGGCCGAGCAGCTGTCCGTCACCAGGGGCGGCCGCATTCTTGATGCATGAGTGCGTTGACGGGGAGCTGCGCTGTGAGCCAGTGTTGGGCAGGGTGATCTTCCCAGAGGCGTTTGAGGAGGAGCTGGGCGAGTTCCACGAGGACGACTCGGGGTTCTCTCTGGGGGCGGGCGTTGGCATCGCCCAGGAGGGCGCGGCGCCGGCGGCGGAGACCCCGGGGGCGCCCCAGCCGAAGCGGCGGCGGATGCCGCAGGTCGACACGCCGCACGCATGCTTGCTGGCATTGTACCCCACGCAGGATTTGTCGGGATCGGGGGAGGGTTTGCCAGGGGAGAGGGGGCAGCGGTGCGGTTCAGTGGCTCTTATGGTGTTGGGTGATGGTGTTTTGGTGATGATTTCGGTTCCAGTGTTCGGGGCGGCGTGATCCACGGTGACGATGTCAATATCTCTGTAGCTAAACCCCTGTGCCAGGTTGAATTTTTCGGGTTGGTGTGCGTATCTGTGTGTGGTTTGAGGTCGGGGTCTTTCTGAGTTGCGCTCAAATCTCGAAGGTTTGCCCGTTGTCGTTTCAGGGTGCGCTCGCGGGGAGTGTACCCCGGAATTCGGCAGCTGCATGTTGAAATGCAAGGGGGGGGGGGACTTCGGCTGCAGCCAGGGGATGTCCGAATCTGTTGGGGCCTTTCCTGGCTGCCGCCGTTGCTTGAAAAACAGAGGCGCGCATTTTGCTACCCAGCAGTTGGCACTGCGTGCAGCCTCGCCCTTCAGGACTCGCCGGGGGCGGCATCGTCGGGGCCAGCGCCTCGCCCAAGGCTGGCCGCGGTGGAGGCGGCAGCGGCGGGGGGCATCGCTCGGCGCATTGGGGTCGAGTTGGAGCGAGCGTCGGAGGGCGCGGACGTTGCGACGGCGCCGGTGGCGCAGTGGATCCCCTTGCAACCTGACGCTGCGTTGCCTGTGCCAGGCGGCTTCGTCACCTCCACCGGCCAGCTGATTCCAGGCGCGCTGGCGCCTCCAGGCACGGCGGCGCCAGTGGCGCCTCAGTTGCATTTGGCAGCAGCGACAGCACCGATGAGGATGTCGAGGCAGGTGCCAGTGGTAATGGCAGTGCAGGGACCCGCGCCGCCGCGCGCCGCACTGCCCACCCAGCAGCAGCCACAGATGCCGCAGCCCAGGCCCCAGGTGCAGCAGACCGCTCAGCCGCAGACCCCAGTGCCGGTGCAGGGAGCTCCGATTCACCGAGGTGCTCGTCCAACCCCGAAGCGGGGTAGATGCGCCTTGCGTGGGTAACCGCTTGGGATGCTGGAGGAGGCAGAGGGATGGAGGAGGTGGAGTGCTATGCGTTTGGAGGGATCAGGATCGGAGGGTTGGCAACGCTTGGTCGGGCGGCTGGGGGGTTCAATTGGCATGGTGTGTCGATCCCAGGTATGCCCGCCGTGTCGCCATCGTCAATGGCATGGCGAAGTTGGGCTGTTCGAAATGGCCGGCTCCTCGGATGTAGACCGGCATTTTTGGCGGGGTACTACTCACGTGTATCTGGGGGTGGGGTTGGGTGGCGCGCGGGGTGGCGGGGGCTGGCGCTTCTGCGCCCCCTGCGCTCATGATCTTCAGTGAAGGGTTCCGAAGCGTGTGATCGCGGAGTTCCCCTTACGAGCACAGGCGCGGCACTGTTTGTGGGTTGTGCGAATCGCGCTGGGGGCCAGTCGGGGGTGGGGGAGGCGCAGGGTTGTGGGGTGGGGTGGGGGGGGATTTGGGTGTTGATATGTGTGTTTATTTCTGACGCTCGGCTTGCAAATGCTGTTTGTGTCTCCGAGGCCGCGCTGTAACGGAGGGCTGGATGGGGTGCCGTCTGGCATGCAGGCGATGTTGCCGCGCCGCATGGTGACCAGGGTTCGCGTCGATTTTTAATGCTGCCTGTGCATCTGCAGCGTTGCCACTCAGGGTGCGTCGGCACTACAAGCTGCCGCGCAAGATCGTCTGCAATGTGAGGATGGATGTGAGATGGGGCGGAACTGGCAGTACGATATCTGACGCACATCGGAACTGTGCGGGTTCGCCCATGCGCAGCACTTCGAATTCGTGAGAAATCGGCGTTGCAGGTTGCAGCGACCAGGCCTCAGGCAGCGGGCCTTGGTAAGAACTTCTGGATGATTTGTAATTCGAGGCCTCTTGATCCTTGGCGACCAATTCCTCTTCCAATTCCCGGAACGTTTGGCGTCGATCTTCCGTTTCGGTCTCCGTGCCTTCATTGGGTTGAAGCTGGTTCTTTAATGGCGACGCAGCACAGGGGGACGGGGAGGCTCTGCAAAGAACTTGTCGAAACCCTTGTAATTAGGCGCGCTTGAAGTTCACGACCGTGGGGCCTTCCCACCGGTTCTTTGTGTACGCGCGTTCTCGCGGCCTTTCTAGCCTGCCGAATGATTAGCGATATCTGGTTTGCGCAATGCGTCCAAAAATGAACTGGAGTGAAAGATCCAGTCTAGGTGGCGTCGATGTTTCGTTTGATGTTCCGTTGCATGCTCTGCCGCTCACACGGCCTTGAAAGGGTCTCAGAGTCGACGGACGCCAACGGACAACGACGAAAACGACGGACGACGACAGACGACGACGGACGACGGATGACCACGACGACGACGGCCGACCGAGGAAGTCTCAGGCAAGACGGCTGCTGGGGTTTTTATGTAGTCATCAAGCGACGTAGGTATGCCTCCCCATTTCTCGGCGGCGGGGGGGCCGGCTCCATCGCGGTCTTCGGTGTTCCTCAGACCCCGGAGGATTCCTTGTCAGGTGAGGGCGGCGTTTATACCAACAGCCGATCCACAATTGGAGCTCCGCTGGGTTCGAGTCCTTGAGTTCCTCATCCAAGGCTTCCGTATCGAATGCCTCCACTGTGCGGTGGTGGCGTTGGTTAAGGAATGTGCCCGGGAGGCTTTAGACCCTTGGGGATTCCTTGTCAGGTGAGGGCGGTGGCGATACCCATCGCCCAGGTAACCCGGGTGATAGTCTTATTGAATCGCTTCGCTCATTCCGCCGGCCCGTGATATGGCATCGCTGGTTTTTGTCTGTGCGTTCGTTGCCCATGTTGCGCTCTTGGGGGCGGGTGTCGTTCGGACGCGTTGCGTGGGGGGTTTTGATGGTGAAGCAGTTCCCTGGGGGTCGTCTCTCGATGGGGCGAAATAGAGTCGTCGTCAAGATGCTTCTTTGGGGGGCCTCTTGGGGTCTGTTGAGAGGCCGTTCGGGGGCGCCTGGGAGACATGTTTGAAGCCTTCTGGGGCTTCTTTTGGGCCTCCTGGGAGTCTCCTGGGGCCTCTTGGCGACATCTTGGGGCCTCTTGGAGGCCTCTTGGGGCCTCTTTGGGACCTCCTGGGCGCCTTCTGGGACGGAGGGCTCCATTTTTGAGTTCTCGGTATCTCTCCTGAGTCCTTCTTGGGCCCGTCTTGGGGCCTCTTGGTCCGTCTTGGGCGGCACTTGGGCCGTCTTGCGGGCTCTCTTGGGTCGTTTCGGCGCCGTCTTGGGAGCTTCGTGGGCCGTCTTGGAGCGGTCTTGGGGGCCTCTTGGGCCGTCTTGGAGCGTCCGGAAGCCGAAAAAGCCAGAACACAAAAAACATCAAAAAAAACAATGAAAATCAACGATTTTGGCCTCTTGGGGCTCTCTTCGGAGGCCTCTTGGAAGGCTCTTGGGGCGTCTTGGAGGCCTCTTGGGCTGTCTTGGGGGCCTTTTGGGCCGTCTTGGGGTCATCTTCGGCGTCTTCGAGCGCTCTTTGGGCGTCTCGGGGGCCTCTTGGGCAGTCTTGGGGGCCTCTTGGGGCACTCTGAGCGCGCTCTGGGGAGCCTGAGAGGCCGCACCCAGAAGGAAAACCATCTTTGAGTAGACTTGGTCGGGCGGCGGTCGGGCGGCGGTCGGGCGGCGACCGGGGGGCGACCGGGCGTTGGTCGGGGTACTTTTCGCCGGGGGACCCCCAGGGGCCGCCCCGCGCGCGCGAACTAGAAATACTGTTAATATTGTTAACCAGTTACCGGAGATTTTAGCACGCCCTGGCCCGTTGGGCCGGCGAATTTGAAACATCAGCTTCAAGATAAGGTATAAGTCTTAACACCTGGTTACGGGGGGCCATTGGATAAGGCATGCTCTCCGGAGGGGCCAGACCCTGGAGGATTCTTTATTTTATGAGGGCGGTGGCGGTTCCCGTGGCCGATCGTCCCGACCGTCCCGACCTAGTTTGGTGATTTCGTTCGATTTCTTTCGCGGTGGGGCGCGTCGGGGAAATCGCCGCATTAGGGTTGCTCTCTCTCTCTCTCTCTGGCTCTCTCTCTCTCTCTCTCTCCCTCTCTCTCTTCCTCTCTCTCTTACTTTGCCTGTCTGCTTGTCGGGCTGTCTGTCCGCCTGCCTGTCGACGTCGGACAGGGGGGTGCACCAGGACGACTCTTGCATCCTGGGAGCTCAGTGTTTTTTGGATGGTGTCGGGGCCCGCCGAGGGCCCCTGGAGTTCTGGATGGGCCGCCACCCCCCAAACAACTTCCAAGGGTCCCATGTAGCTCAGACTCCTCGGCCGCCTCCAACTCAAGATTTTGGTTCCCGGGACCTGCAGCAACAAACCCACGGTGCGAGATCACTTCCACTGGTGGGGTCCCGAGGCTCCGGGGGCCTCCTTGAGTGGAGATCCGTCAGGGTCGAGTGACCCACGCGGTGTCGGGAATCGTCGCGCGAGCCGCCACGACGCGTCGTCTTCATCGTCGTCGTCGTTGTCGTCGTCGTCGTCGTCGTCGTCTCAGGTTGTCGTCACCATCGTCATCACCATCATCATCACTTGAGGGCTCACGCAGGTCCAGGGAAGGGGTGGGGGATCATCGCCGCCGCCGCCGTCGTCGTCGTTGTCGTCGTCGTCGTCGTCGTAGGCCTCGCTGCCGTCGTCGTCGTCTTTGTCGCCGTCGTCGTCGTCGTTGGCGTCGTCGTCGTCGTCGTCGTCCTCGTCGTCGTCGTCGTCGGACGTGGTTCCAGAATTCGCTGGGCGCCGCGAAATTGGAACCGCGTTGGGCGCCCGCGTCGTCGTCGTCGTCGTCCTCGCCGTCGCCGTCGCCGCCGTCGCTGGTGCCGCCGCTGCCGCTGTCGTCGCCGCCGTCGCCGCCGCCGTCGTCGTCGCCGTCGTCGTCGTAGTCGTAGTCGTCGTTGTCGTCGCCGTCGCCGTCGTCGTCGCTTTCGTCGCCGCCGTCGCCGTCGCCGCAGTTGTCGTTGTCGTCGTCGTCTGTCCTGTCGCCGTCCTCGTCCCCGTCGTCCTCGTCGCCGCCCTCGTCGTCGTCGTCGCCGGGCGGGTGGGTGCACCAGGACGACTCTTGCATCCTGGGAGCTCAGTTGTTTTTGGATGGTTTCGGGGCCCGCCGAGGGCCCCTGGAGTCCTGGATGGGCCGCCCCCCCCCCAAACAACTTCCAGGGATCCCATGTAGCTCAGACTCCTCGGCCGCCTCCAACTCATGGTTTTGGTTCCCGGGACTTGCAGCAACGAACCCACTCGGGGATCCTCTGACACGGGTCAATCCAGACCCGGGTCAGCAGGAAACCAAAAACTGCAATGCAGGAAAAAAAACTGCAACGCAGGTCCTCGCAAACCTGGGTCAGCCAATACGCGCGGCCGCCTCGCGGCCACGAGCGGCTCCCTAACCCGGGTCAGCCAGAGGGGGCCCTCGCAGGATCCTGCAGGATCCGGCGCCCTGGCTGACCCCCGTTTGCACTGACCCCCGTCTCGAGGCTCCCGACCCACGGTGCGAGATCACTTCCACTGGTGGGGTCCCGAGGCTCCGGGGGCCTCCTTGAGTGGAGATCCGTCAGGGTCGAGTGACCCACGCGGTGTCGGGAATCGTCGCGCGAGCCGCCACGACGCGTCGTCTTCATCGTCGTCGTCGTTGTCGTCGTCGTCGTCGTCTCAGGTTGTCATCACCATCGTCATCACCATCGTCATCAGTTGAGGGCTCACGCAGGTCCAGGGGATGGGGTGGGGCATCGTCGCCTCCGCCGCCGCCGTCGTCGTTGTCGTCGTCGTCGTCGTCGTCGTCGTCGTAGGCGTCGCTGCCGTCGTCGTCGTCTTGATCGCCGTCGTCGTCGTCGTTGGCGTCGTCGTCGTCGTCCTCGTCGTCGTCCTCGTCGTCGTCGGACGTGGTTCCAGAATTCGCTGGGCCCCGCGAAATTGGAACCGCGTTGCGCGCCCGCGTCGTCGTCGTCGTCGT